AAAAAAAAAAAAAAAAAAAAGCATAAGCTTCTGAACTGCTCGCAACCCGGCAATCACCTGAATCTGATGTGAAAAAGCGTACTCCAATGGGCGTCCAATTTGAGTAGCGTCTGGCAGCAGCATGAAGGCATGAAGTCGCATAAGGGTCAACACGGTGTCAGCAGTCTTGAACACAGTTCTCTGGGGCATGTTCAGACAAGAGTTTCCCCGATGGCTTTCAGAGAATGTTCATGCTTCGACAAGTGATGTGACTCCGTGCATTGAGAAACCTGAACTGCATTCCTGATTCCATCTTGCAGACCCTGAGGCAGCGGCAGCTAGTTCCAGCTCTGGGTGTTGTAACACCTCTGCACAAGACTCATATGCAGCACTCATCCCATCAGGTCGGACATGTTGTAGTGCGCACCAGAACTCACAAGAACTGGGCTAAGCCCCCATGCCGCGGGCATGAATGATACTGCTGATTCTTGTTCGGCCCATCCCAGCCGGGGTCACACCATCTATGAACCAAAACCTACAACTTCTGTGAAGTGTGTCAGTTGCGGAGGAATCAGTCCTGGACTATGTCTTTCTTTGCCGCCATCTTCAGAAATTGTCGTGACTTTTCGCTGCTCGGCTTTTCCGAATCTCAAAGGTGGCAACAGATCAGGGGACTGCAAGCGCGTGATCCTCATCCGCATAAGCATTACCACTTCCGAGGTCGCAGGAAAGGCGTCATTTCTCGCATCACACCTGTGGATTGCTTCAGAAGGGAAAGACGACACATACTTCATGGATACGCAAACGACTCCTCTCTCAGGACAAATCAAAACTGCATTGTATTCCTACTGCCATCCCCGCAAGAAACCATTCTGGAGAGTGCAATAAAGAGTCTTGTCTTGAAGATTGTTCCTACCAACCCTCCGCAAAGGCGGTGGAAATGGTCATCAATTAGTTTGCATGCTTTCTCACAAGGTTGTGAATTCCTGATGCGTCCAACGGATATGACTTCCAACGCTTAATCGGAAGCCTCTCGAAGTTTTTCAGACCGCGAGCAAGCGAAATGAAAAGAGGGGACGAATGGTCAGCAGGGTTATCAGGTGTCTCAAGCTGCCAACAGTGTCCTGGCAGGCTAACACTTTATGAGGGGAAGGCATCGAGTGTGCACTCATGTTTGCGTCGAGTGTGCGCTCCAAATGCGTCGAGTGTGCGCTCCTAGGTGTGTTTTGAAGCAGAAGTGCTAGGCCGTGCGCACGATTCAGGATGCATGTGGGGGCGGATTTGGGGGACCAGGTTGGCTGCGGGCCCACTTGCTTGCTGCACCCCCAGCCCCGCCCCAGGAGCAGTGCACAGGTTCCTGTGACCCCACCTCCGTTTTTGGTGCACACCCCTTTTCGTGTATAGACATCTTGCCGCACCCACAGCCCCGCCCCTAGAGCAGCGCACAGGTTCCTTTGACCCAACCCCATTTTTCTGTACAGACCCTGCCTCCTGTATAGACATCCCCCCAGCATGCTGAACAGTGTACAGATTTTGTGTTGTTCAGATTTTGTGTAGCTTGGGTCTTTTCGCGCGCGCAATTTCATTAATTATGGATGCGAAAAAGGTGCGAGGTTTGGGGCTGCCGGTCTGGGGTTGACGGGGTAAGGGCTCCGGCCTGAGGCCGGGCTTTTCGCGCGCGCAATTCCATTAATTATGGACGCGAAAAAGGTTGGAGGTTTTGCAAGGTATCCACCCTTTAAACCCTAAACCGTAAAACCCGAAACCCCAAAAACCCTGAACCCTAAATATCCCTCGAACCCTTTAAACCCTAAGCCGTAAAAACCCCAAACCCCAAAAACCCTAAACACTAAAAACCCTGAACCCTAAAAACCCCCTGAACCCTTTAAACCCTAAACCGTAAAAACCCTAAACCCTAAAGACCCTAAACCCTAAGAACCATGAACCTTAAAAACCCTCTAAACCCTGAAATTGCAAAACCCCAAAAACCCTGAACCCTAAAAACCCTAAACCCTGAAAACCCTAAACCCTGAAAACCCTGAACCGTAAAACACCGAAAATTTCCCAAAAAGCCCATTAGAAGCCATACAACCACCTAAACCCTAAAAACCCTAAACCCTAAAACACTAAACTGTAAAAACTCTAAACCCTCAAAACCCTAAACCCTAAAAACCCTAAACCCTAAAAACCCTAAACGTTCAAAATCTTCAACCCTAAAAACCACCTCAACCCTAAAAACCCTAAACCCTAAAAACCCTTAACCGTAAAACCCTTAAGAACTCCTTAGAAAACCATTGAAGCCATGAAACCACCTCAACCCTAAAAACCCTAAACGTAAAAAGCCCTAAACCCAAAAACCCGAAACCCTCAAAACCACCCAAGCCCTAAAAGCCCGAAATCGTAAAAACCCTAAACCCTAAAACCGTAAACCCTAAACACCCTAAACCCCAAAACCCAAAACCCTAAGACCCTGACACGCGTGTCTAAAAACTCTAAACCCTAAAAACCCTAAACCCTAAACTCCAAAAACCCTTAACCCTAAAAACCCTAAACCCTAAAAACCCTAAACCCTAAAAAACCCAAAAACCCTAAACCCCCAAAACCCTAAACTCTGAACCCTAAGAACCCTAAACCCTAAACATCCTAAACCCTCAAAACCCTAAACCCTCAAAACCCCAAACCCTCAAAACCCTAAACCCTGAAAACCCCAAACCCAACCCTAAAAACAATATTGTTCAAGAAAAAACTTTAAAAACCATAGAACCACCTAAACCCTAAAAAGCCTACGCCCTAGAACCCTAAAGTCTGAAAACCCCAAATCCTAAAAACCCTAAGCCCTAAAAGCCCTGAACCTCAAAAATCCTGAGCCCTAAAAACCCCCTAAGCCCTAAAGATCCAAAACCGCAAAAGCTCTAAACCGTAAAATCCTTGAAGCCCACCAAACCACACCATTAAAAACCATCCAAACACCTAAACCCTAAAAACCCTAAAAACCCCTAAAGCCAAAAACCCTAAACCCTAAAATGCTTAAACCCTAAACACCACCTAAACCCGAAAAAACCCAAACCCCGAAAACCCTAAACCCTGAAAACTTAAACCGCCAAAACCAGCTGAACCCTAAAAGCCCTACGGCGTAAAATTCCTAAAGCCTACAAACCCTCAGCGGTGGATGCAGATTCGAGGAGTGCGCACTGGATGCAAAAAGA